CAAGTTTTAACAAAAACCCGTTGGAAGAGGTCGCTAAAAACATTATCCGGAGCAAATAAGTGAAATTAGACTGCAGTGCTAAGCATCCTGCTTCGCGACAATTCTGAGAGTCATCGTGATCCCTGATTAAGGACGAAGAGTCTTTAGATGACCAAAGATGTCACACATGCAGGCAGAGGGAGCAAGGAGCGCAACATGGGAGTCGATTCCAGGCTCCTGGGATCATGACCTAAGCCAAAGTCAGAGGCTTAACCGACTGAACTACCCAGGCACCCCTGAGTCTATGTTTCAACGTCAGCTCCTATATGGCTTGTATAAGCTTCTATCTTTGTTCCTTTATAAAGCTGCATTGCATAAAGCTCTATATAGGCTTCAAATTTTGTTCCAACGAACACAGCCACAGACATTATGTAAGCTCTACTTGTATTCAAACACCTGTTTAAACAAGACTATACTTTTACACATCTCCTTCCCACTCTTCTCAAGAATTGCTTTCTCAATGCCAATTTAGAACACAAATGTCCTGAAATGTTTTAGTTAATCGTGGAAGGTCAGCTCAATCATGGTTGATCGGCCCACGAACATCAGTGCCAACTTCATTTTCTTTGCATTGAGTGTAAATATAAATTGACAAGGTACAAATATTTACAAGAATTTAAAAGAGTGAAAATAAGGAATTTGATGGCTTTAAACCCCTCTCCATGGCATCTTACCCCTAAGCCTGAGGTCTTCGCAGTCTGTTTTCTTCCCAATCTGAGCTTTTTCTGTGTCCACGCAGTGGGAAGCTGGCCAGACCTGCCCTCCCACTTAGCACAACTCTTACTGAAAAACGAAATCAGTACAATTTCAGGCAAAATTAACACTACCTGAAAGTAATTTCCCAGCAACCGCTTTGCCCTTTGAGCTAGTTTGAGAAGCTTACGACCTGCACATGATCTTCTTTCACTGCTCAAAATGAATGGAGTCAACCCTACTAAAAAGTAAACATGTCTCCTCAAAAGAAACTAAGTGACTTTAAACCTATTTAGTTTTACAACTTCAAAATGAAATAAAATTTCTATGTGAGAATGGTAGGATGTGTGCTTTCTACTTTTACTCATGCAAGTAATATATACACAGAACATTCATAAGCTTAGACATAAGCCTTAGCAAATGTAAATAGTTTATCTTTAAATATTTTCTCTTTAATATTGGGCTTACACTGCAGACTAAGGAAAACCTACCAGCTTTAATGAATACCTAAAATTGTTTTGGAATCAAAGATGTATATGCAAAAATGGAATTCCGAAGTGCTTGAAAGCTATTTACCTAACACCTCTATATTCAGCCTTGTTTATTATTCTCTTTGTTGAGCAAACACTCTTCCTTGATTGTGTAAACATTATACATCAGAGCAATCACAAATTGCAATACTTTATAGTGTATGAAAATGAAGTTTTATTGTATTTATCTACATAGTAAAGATTAGCTCCCAAATCTGTCATCCCCAAAATGGAAAAGTCTTTTTCATCTTGAGCCAAGTGAATAAGAAAAAGTCATGCATTAATATCATGGATAAATGCCCACAGAGAGTAATAACTTCTGATTTCAAATAATATTGCAGTCCTTTTAAAAAAGAAAATTATCATCAGAACAATCTTGTATGAACTTGATTTAGAAAAATACATCTTTAGAAGAAGTAGTTGCCAGTCAAACTCAGTTACTGGTTATAACCAATTTCTCAAAGTCAAGTATGAGAAACCCTGGTTAAAGCAGGCTTTTCTAAAAAAAAAATTTCAGGCTGTTGGTCACACCCCATAGAACCTAATCCTTTTCCTGCAGCACACACATCCTGTCACTCCTCACCTCTCCAAAGGCCCCAGCCACCACTGTCCGGGTCCCTACCAGGCAAGTGGGGCAGGTCACCTCCTGGTACACTCACCTGCCTCCAGAGAAAGTTTGGGCTCGTTTTTACCCTAAAACACATGCAGCACACACCAACCTTATCCTCGGGGCTTATATATGGTCTGGTGCCTTATTTGTGGGCCCTAAGTGATGGAGAACTCGCTCAGCAAAGCCTTTAAAAGTCCTCAGGGTATATTTAAACTTCCACAGTATGGATAGATAACTCAAGTTTGGGAAATCAGGCGGCTACCCACCCCCACCACCTCTTCAAATAGTTTCATCTGTAAACAGTGTTGGAAATTTGGGAAAAATTTTAAACTACATATACATCTGTCTAGACATCAAGAAAAGAACAATTCAGTATGAGCTGTAATAATGATTGTACAATCTGGCAAGACACTACTACAAATAAAAAATAAATGTATAGTGAGCCTAATCACATTTACATAATCATAGAACAGATCTGAAACATTTTTATTCCCTGGGATTTAAAACTTTGCTCTGATTTTGGAGACTGTTGTTCCTAATGATATATACCATGCAGAACTATTCCTTATCAACAAACCCAATCTGGTTTACAATGGTCTCTACTCCAGGATATAGAGGTTGTTCTAATGGATTTGAAAGGAATCTTACTCAGAATTGATGGGGAGGGGAGCGGAGGGGAGGGGAGATTCTTTTAAAAGCCTGCCACTGTTACTCAGTTCTTAAGCTATGATCCAGAAGTGTTAATTTTGTTTTTGAGAAAGTCAACAGACTTGGCTACATTAAAGTATAGAACACCTCTAAGTCAAAACCACTATAAACTCATGGTATGGGTCTTTATAAGGCCAAGACATCATGGGGGGAAAAAAATCTGTAATATGAAATGTAAAAGTTTATTATCAATCCATAAAAGTTCTAATAGAAAAATACTAATATCCCAGTAGAAAAAAAATTGGCACTGCAGTCATTAAAAAAGGAATAAAAATGAAACTAAATTGTTTTTGGTATTCATGATTTGTAATTAAAGACCTGGAAACTTAGGTATCAAGAAAGCACTGTTTACCTCTAAAGCTGGAAGGATTATTTTTCCTTTTAGGAATGATTCCCCACATTAACAAGAATACCATAACAGATACTCTCAGAGTGTTGGTGGGGATCATACTTGGCCAAACATTTTTTGGAAAGCAAATGGTCCATCTGTATCAAGAGATCTTTGGGCCAAAAACTGTATTTCAAGGACTCCATCTAATAGGCCGTGTAGATAAAGTTTTATAAGGGATATTTCTTGCAACAGTATATATTTAATAGTACTTGGAAATAAAAGTTCAGCTTATAATTTTTTACCTCTATAGTGAAATATTATGTAGCCACTAAAATAAGACTCTTAGAGAACTTACTGACCTGCAAACTTTTTCCTCAAACAGGAAAAAAAACAGTATGCAATAGTATATCTGTATAAACTGCGTAACTGTAAAAAAATAAATCCATTAACAAGCACGAAGAAAACACTGTGATTATATTTGGGTGGTAGAATTATTTAATTCATACTTTTTCTGAATCTACCCATTTTTATACAGCAAGCAGACATGGAACAAGGCCAACAGAGGAAGGCTATTATGGGACATGCCTTCTAAATGCTTCCGTCTAATAACAAATACAGAGAAATCTAGCTAGAATTTTATAACCCTATGAAATTACCCAAAATTGTAACCATGTATTACTAATACATAATTAAAAGGTGCAGATCTTCTGCAAGCACTATTTTCTCCATGACCGATTTTTAAAAGAGGAAAAAGTTGGCACAAGTAAATAATATTATTTTAAACTCAATTCCACTAAGTTTTTAAGGATAAATAGTTTTAATCATTTCTTTGCATAACTTTCCTTATGGAATAGTGTATTGAAGAAAAAAAAAGTGTCCTACACATTGCAAAGCACTATGCAAATAAGGCATCATTGGTTCAATTTAAATTGTCCATCATTTCCTGCCCTAACTATCCCTGAAAAAGAAGCTGTCTATTGTATTGCATTTCCAAATTCTTCAGTTTCTCTTCCGGTTAACCACACACTGCTATCTGGGTGTATCTAGACTCCTTAAAGAGGTCATTAAGGAAGCAGCAACTCATTTCCTTTTTATTCCCCTCCCTCCTTGCCTCCACTCCTAACACCTGCACCGCACCCTCCACCACCCCCCACCCCAGGGCTAAGGATTTAATGTGCTGATGACTAAAATCCCATCACCTGGCAAAACATAAACCCTGTCATTCCCTGAGTTTTGCCTAAAACTTTGATTTTATTCAAACAAACAAAACACGCTGGATTTCCTTTCTTAGCACCCAAACTGCTAAATAGTCAATAGTAGTTAACAGGGTAGGTCAAACTTGATGGAGGCTAAATGAAGAATTAATCTCTCCATTCTTACTCCAAAATAAATTATGCTGAGTCAAAGTCAACAATCACTTAGTTATTTGCAAAGAGTACGTCTTGAAAAAGGAGAAAAAAATTTAAGGTAGTAAGTCCCATAATTACTGTAGAGTAGTAATCAATCAGGTGACTTGACTTAGGAGTGGATTCTTCTAGAGAGCTAGAAAAGCACAAGTAAGCCGCTGGAAGTAGTAAGACACGGGACGGGAGGGCCTTGGGAATTGCAGCAACCTCATTAACGCCACATTTCAGCCCTGATTGCTTATGCTGAGAATGGGCCCAAGCGAACCGCAACGGGAGAAGGCTGGGACTGCTGGGCCCTGGCAGGTCAAGTATTCGGTGGGCGGCTTCCGGCTGCAAGCACACGCCTGTCAGTCTGCGTCTACTGTAAACCCCTTCGGTCACTTTCAAGGTGACAGCTACTGCGACCCGCATCCGTCCCTGCCGCACCAGCTGCGCTGACCCCCCGTGAGACCCGATCTCCGCAGCCTCCGCTCCTGTGGGGTTGTCTCCCCACTTCTCCCCCAACTTTGGCACCCAAGCCCCTGGAATAACCGCCCCTCCCTCAAAGCTAGTTCCGTCCCCCGTGACGGTCGCGTTCGCGTTGTGTCCCCGTCCGTCCGCCCCCCCTCCCCCGCGCCCCAGCCCTAGATCTCCACCGCGGACAGGCTGGGCAGCCGGAATCCTCTTCTCGACTCCGCACTTACCCGCAGCTCCTCCTTCTCCTCCTCCCGGGAGCAGAGACGTAGAGTAGGGGAAACAGGGACTGAGAGCCCCGGCGCCCTTCGGATCCCCGGGGAGGCGCTCCAGGCCCACCCGGGAGACCCGCGGTGCAATCAGTGCCCAGCGGGCAACGTCTGCACCTGGGGACACACGGCTCGTCCCTCACCCCACCCCCGCACGCCAGCGGCGGCTGCAGCTGCCAGGCGGGAACCCCGAGACTGGGGCGCGCCAGCCTCCCCGCCTCTCCAGCCGCTGGGGGTGGAGCAAGGGCGGGGAGTTCGGGAAACTTGTAAATAGAAAAGCTCCGCCGCCTCTACCCACCTCGCTCGCTGCCACCCCTTCCAAGCGGCCCCAGTCTGCACCTCGCTGCTGGAGACAAAGGGCAGGCGGCATTCAAGGGGGGGGGGGCTGCGCCCCGAGAAACTTGAAAGACGCGCGGGGCTGTACCTCGGAATACAGGCCCGGGGGACTCCCGCCGCGTTCCGCTCCGCTCTACTGGGCAGGTTGGCGGGTTCGACTAGCCAGTTCGCTCCCTCCTCTGGCGCTCCCGCGTCCGGGTCCCGAAGCCCTGCACGCTCCCGGGCTGAATGCAGACTCGCCCCAGGCCCCGGGCGTCAGCCCAGGACTGCGCTGCACCTGTTGCCACGTGCAACGCGGCGCCCCGCGGCTGCTGCCAGCGCACCTGGCTGACCCGCGCGTCCCCAGACCACGCAGGTGCCCGAGGGCGACTGGAGTTCTGCCTACTCCGGCTCTCGCCTCCTGTGTTATCCCTGCGAGCTCTCTGGCTTCCAGCTAGCCGTGGGGCATTGCAGCGAGGGCGGGCCAGGAGTGGGGGTAGGGAGTGGGGCGGTTGCAGAATGATCAGGGCGGAGGTTTGCTAGGAACCAGCACTGATTGTCTCCTCAGAGTGTCCGACTCCTGGTCTGTTTTATCTTCGTACTACTAAGAAGTTTATTAGCGAACACCTATTAAAGGTTAAAGAAATGAGCTCCAGCTGTTATCTTGGAATAAGTGGAAAGAATACAACACCAGGGAGATAAACGAGGCCCGACCCACTCTTCTCTAAACACAAATGAAGTCCTTCTTTGCTAAACGGAACGAATTTCATCCATAGCTGTCTATTAGGCTCATAAAATATTTTCTTCTATAGACATATTTTTAGTGCAACGCTTTTCCGAAGATGCTATTCCACTTACGAGAGATGTAAGATTATTGAGCCATCAAGTGTCAGACAACCTGGGCCCAAACTTAAAAAAAATAATAATGATAATTAACCGGTTTGGATTTGCTGAAAGCATTTTAAGAGAGGCTTTTTCAGAGAATTAATCTGAGGATATTGTATTTGACTAAGTTTTCTATGCTAGCAACATTAGATCCACTAACAGATGTACTGCCATTTACAGTTGCAAAGCCTTTTCACATTACAATGTCCCAGTATTTCCTCAACAAGACCCAGAGTAAATAGGTCAGATTATTATCTCCATATTTCAGCTGAAAAAATGGAAGCTAAAAAAAGGTCAAGGGACTTACTCAGGGTCACACAGCTAGTGAGAGTTAGTGCAAACCCATCTGGCCTAACTCATGATCTTGTCTTTTTATTGTATTGCATGCCAAGTTGCTTTTGAAGAACCTGTTGCAAAGACAGACATGTAACTAACATATCTGTGACTTTAAAAGGCATAGGATTATTTTTAAAGAGATGCAGCACTATACACCATTGAATGATTCTCTCATGCAAAAGCACCAAAACAAAAAAAAATCAGAAAAACAAATGCACTGATACAGTTACTGCAAGTCATGAGGCAATTATGCTAATTAGCAACATGTCTCCTTCCTAAACAGAATAGTCCTAGTGTTAAACATATCATTTAATCTTTATAACCCTCATGTGACCCAGATGATTTGGTCCAACCCCCTACAGTTCTATTGTGTGGCTTAGTTTTATCTATAAATATAGAACCTGTTTTACTTCATTTTTCTAAGAGATAGATTGAAGCAAAGGGGAAAACAAAACAAAACAAAACAAAAAACACCTCTCCTAAGTAATTAGAAGCAACTTTTGTGGTCACTGGGAATCTGAAACTTAGCTTTTAATTGCATGCACATAAAAACAGAAGTTACCTTCTAGGGACAGCATCAGGGACTTTATCAAGGCAAATATGCTTGAAATGGGACCTGCTGACTTTTCTTTCCATCTTGGTCCTGGGCATGTTGCCATGTTCTTGATCTCTGAACTCCAATGTTAACCTGCTACAGACGCGAAGAACAGTATTAAGGGTCAGATAATACTCCACAAAACTTAGGGTTTGTCCTTAAAAGAAAAAAGCATAGTTTTTTTCCTGCACTAGAAAAATGCAAATTAAAATGACATTGAGAAAACACTTTTTCATTTATCAGAACCAGAAAGATTAGAAAGTTTGATAACCACTGTGTGCTGGCAAAGTGGAGAAACAGTCACAGTGCAGATGTGCATGTACATCAGAATGGCTCCATTGAGGGCAATTCATTCTACCTAACAAGATTATAAATGCACATGTCCTTTGAGCCAGTAAGTCTACACTTAAGAATTCATCTTACAACACACAAGAAATGGTAGACGTGTATAAGCTTATCCATTTCAGCGTTGTTTATGGTAAAAGATTGAAAAAAGTATAGATGTTTATTAATAAAGGACTGGTAAATTATGAAACAGCCATAAATGACATCCTATGAAGGCTTAAGAAAAGAATGAAGAGGGGCAGCTCCGTGGCTCAGTCGGTTAAGTGTCTCCCTTTGGCTCAGGTCATGATGGGGGGAGGAGGGGTCCTGGGATCAAGGTCCTCAGGCTCCCTGCTCAGCGGGAAGTCTGCTTCTCCCTCTCCCACTCCCCCTGCTTGTGTTCCCTCTCTCGCTCTCTCTCTCTCTGTGTCAAATAAATAAAATCTTTAAAAAAAAAAGAAAAGAATGAAGAAAAATGAAAAACTAAAAGAAAATTTTCATTTAAACGAATGTGTTACATGGCAATGTTAATAAGCACTGCTCTATGTTCTAGTAATTAAAAACCTAAAAAAAAGTGAAAGCTCTTTGTACTCTTCTGAAATGATCTCCAAGACACATCATGTGCACAATTTTTAAAAAATGAAAAACAATTATCTAAGTATGCTACATTTTTCTATTAAAAGGGGGAATTATATACACTTCTATGGAAATATATATATGTGTATATATATATACATAAATTTGACTGTATAAGCATAAAATATCTCTGAAAAGACATATCAGAAACTGCTAAGATTGGTTGCATCTTGGGAAGGAAGCTGGACAGCTGGAGGGCAGGATTGGAAGGGAAATTTTGCACTAGATATAATTTTGTATTTTTTGAATTTTGAACCGTGTAAATAATAGTACCCATTCCAATATTTTAAAATGCGTCACTACTTGAAGTTTTGCCATCAAGAATGACTAAAATTCTCTCCCTACTAATTTCACTTACAGATACAATAAATTGTAAAATTTCTCATACATAAATGGGGAGAAAAAACAAAAATACTTAACTGATACTTTCAAACTATTTCTTCTCTAGTTTATCTAAAAAGAAAATATTCAAAAAAATTTAAAAAAAAATAAAGTATTCAGTACATAAAATTCTAACACGCTGTCATTATGGTGAAAATGATGACAGGGCGCCTGGGTGGCTCAGTTGGTTAAACGACTGCTTTCAGCTCAGGTCATGATCCTGGAGTCCCACGATCAAGCCCTGCATCAGGCTCCCTGCTCAGTGGGGAGCCTGCTTCTCCCTCCGACTCTTCCCCCCCACCCCCACCCCCCGTCTCATGCTCTCTCTCTTTCTCATTCTCTCTCAAATAAATAAATAACATCTTAAAAAAAAATGATGACTTAGCAAATTCCTTAGAATTTTATTAACATTGACATCTCCCTGGAGTAGAGCTTTCAGCTAATTTTCCCCAAGTTGCATTCAATAGAAATGAAAAAAGGAGTTCCAGGCTTAATTCCCAAAAGGGAAACTCCAGTACATTGATTTAAGTAGTGAGGAAGTAATTCCATGAGAATTCCATGGCGTCATTTTTATTCCCAAACTCGATCCCTTTTTAAAAATTTCTTGCTTATTTATATGTGTTTATACCAGCACTGCATTGAATGAGGGGTTTGAATAACTCCAAAAGACAGGCACAGTAAATTTTAAAAAATAAATATTTAGACGTATATACTAGAATCCAAGGAAAAACATACAGGTAAGTAAACATACCATTGAGTAACCAAATTAAACCACTGAGTAGCCAAGCGTCCCAACCAGTTACATAATTGCCATTTGCAAAATGGGCTGATAGTTCTTGAAGGGAAGCAAAGCTGTTCTTAACATTAATTACAAAGAGAAAATTTTTCACTCATGTTTCAGATCAAGACATCCGTGCTTGATGTGCTTCTTTTTCATAATGGCTTTGAATAAAAACCAAAGTATTATCATAAAATTCAACTCGAAAATATTTACCCAATCTGGGACCAAGCCAATGTCAATCAAGACTTATAACAGCACAATGGATCAAGGATTGACTATAAATAGACATTTGTATATATAGCAGTTCTTTCATATATGCTTTTGAAAGTCAGATATGCTCATGGTAAAATTCTAACATGTCCACAAATTCCTTGGCTCAGAGTGAGACACAGTTGTTTTAAACAACATTCCAGAAGTTTTCTAGTCGGCCAAAAATTTGATAGGTGCTGAAGAACTGCAGAAGTGAGAAAGACCCAGAATGCCGGAATTTTGTGACACTGTTGATGACCTGTTTTCCTATTTCTGTTGAGAGAAAATATATATTGCAAATAGCCACATGACATTTAATTGTTGTGTCCCAAGATAGTAAGACATCCATGGTCAAGTACGTGGACTGACTCGCTGTAGGAATGATTGCAAGAAAACAGCACGAGAGCAGCAAATGGTCTTGATTCACTCACAAATAACTCCTGGGTTTCTAATTATCCATCCTTCTTCCCAGTGGACTTGGAGACTTGAGTAGACTCTCCCATCAATATTCCAGAAGGGTAACTATCAGAGCAGGAATGTTCTTGTGTAGAAGTCTGCAGATTTGTAAATCAAGTATCTCAAGAAAGAAATTTCCTGTTGCAAGTTCAGAGCAGTAGCAATAATAAGGAAGTACAGTTTCCTCTTGTGAGAACGATCTGAGAGCATCTGAGAAACTTGTTCATCCTCCCATACTATGGAAGGCATCTGCAA